ATTTATATATTTATATATTAATAAATAAATAATATTTTATATATTATATTATAATTATTAAAAAAAATTAAAATCTGTCAAACCAAATTCTTTCAGTTTTGTCTAGCTTATTGGTCTAAAAGTCACCTTTTTTTATTGACTATAGCCTCCTTAATAATAGAAACAAATGAAAACTAATTATAGATGTTAAATGTTAATAAATATTTTTAAAAGAAAAAACACTGGAAATCATATCATGCAATTAAAAATGATTATACGTATAACAATTTCGAGAAAATTGCATGTATTTACAGTAATTAATTTTTGAATCATCTACAACAAATAAAAAAATCGATTTCTTTTAAGATTATATATTATAATATATACTTATATTACTTTGCATAATAATTACAGTTTTTGACAATTTTTTTTTTTTTGTTTTTACCTCTGTTATTTTAATAGGYATTAACTTAAAAACAATTTAAAGTGGTTCCTCTAAAGTTCACATGGAATAAGAAAAAATTCAAAAAATCACGTTTAAAAAGAATTTCGTTTCAGAAAACGAAAATCTGCTTTTTGTTCTAACGCTCTCCAATTAATTTATACAAAAATTATCATATATTAACTATATCAGTGGTTTCCAACCTATGGGCCGGGGTTAAGCCAAGGGTCTGGAAATTTTAATTTTAATCAACGATTTTTATATGATTTTATAAACGTCTACATTTCTTCAATCGTTTTATTTATATGTATTTATATTTTATACCAKSCTAACCTAACCATACTTTTTCTCTGCCGGACCCCTAAGAGAAAATAAAAATGATCGCGGACTAATCTTAAAAAAATAAAGTAATATGAATATATATTTTAGTATTTTCGTTTTATAGATAGCTACTTTGTGTATTTTTATTTTTTAATTTACGTCCCGGACCACAGTTTGGAAAACAATGTTTTATACCTACATATTAGGTACCTAAGTGAGCCCTAATATGTTTTTTTTTTACATTATTGGTGGTCCACATCCACACAACTAAAAATGTGGGAAACAGCTGAACCATACTATACTTACTCTTTTTTTTCTAAGAAAACTAGATAGGTTATAAGATACAAGAGAAATGCACGAATGTAAAAAGGGTTTAGTAACCACAAAACGGAAATGCTATATATCAGAGGTATTCAAACTTKTTGGGTGTTCACAATATGTTTAAGGCTCCCAAATTATTATGAAAAAATTGAAACAACACACGGATACAATATGGGAGATATGTTATATGGGTGATAATAACAGTGACTTTAGTACTAGAAATAAAACTTCAAATGTTCGAATCGTAAGGTGTGTCGTTTTCATTTCAATAATGATTGCAGATAATATTTATAATAATTATACAGGACCTAGGTATGATGTTGGTTTTCGGTGCTTTGACGCGGCTCCCTTTGCAAACTCTMGCGACGCACAGTTTGAATGCCTCTGCTATATTATATGACAATGTATATTATAAATTTATAATCTCATATTATATGGCGATGACGATGACAATGGTTATAATATACGAGTAACATACATTATAACATTATTGTAATGATAATATTATTATAAGTGATAATATTATTTTATCGACTGCGTAGGAATTCGCTAATTCGCTATCGATAATGCAGTTGCACTTGACAATAATATAGACTTAAAATAATAACTTCTGATCAACATTTTTTTTTTTAGAAAAATAACGTCTTTTTTAACCACTTCAAAAATAATGTGTAGTGTGTACATATATATTTGGCTGTCTGTCTATTATCTGTCAACTGTCTGTCTATTCGTCTGAGAAAAGCTTTGCAACGGATGAGTCGATTTATGACTGGGTTTTCACAAGTTATTGTACTCGAATTACTTTATAAATAAAAAAAAATGTATGATTGGATATAATTTTGCACCTTTAGGTTACTCGTATTTTACATTTGATAAAAACAACTTAATTAAATGTGTTGAAAATCTATGCAGCATATTTTCAACAGAGTTTAAGAAGGCCAAATCAGAAGATACCCAAATTTTCGGATTTAATATTTTAGTTTTTAATGTTTATGCCATTGATTTGTAAATCGATTATAATGATTTGCAAAAATAGTAATTTCGTTTGTAAAAAATTCGATTAAGTTGTTGAATAATAGTTTAAACACATTTTTATATGCTAATATTATTTTTAATTGTTCGTTAACCTACTAGTTTTAATAGATATACAGAGTGTAACACTGTAACAGGTCTATTTGACTAATAGTGGTTATATACATCAAGTGGTCATTTTAAATAATGGTAAAATATATGTATTTATTATTGATTACCTATCTACCTTTGAATGATAGCAAAACATTGATTATTATTTATTAGCACTATTAGCAGTAAATAAATTTGAATTTCACAATCTTTGAAAATTGTTTAAAAATCAATGACGAAACCAAGTTTAATATTTTAAACGCCAAAACTATTTTTAAATACTTATTTATGAAATAGCTATCTTAGATTATAAGAAAAATAATACAAAATTTAAATTCTTTGATTTTAGTTTTAAAATAATAAAATATAATATAATATTTATAAAGGTTGTTGCACGAAGCTCTAGAAATCATTACAAAAAAAAAAAAACTTAAAAATATTGAATAGAAAAACGTTAAAACATTAGTCAAATAGACCTGTTACACCCTACATAGGGTTGAATGAGTACGAAGAAGGTATTTAAATACTTTTTGTTGTAATAAACATAGTTTTTTAGCAACTGAAATTTACACTTGATATCTACATATCCATATTATTTTTATTTGTTGTATATTGTTTATACCTAACTGGTATGTAATATTTACATTTAATCAAATCAAATATTTTTAGAGATTTCAATAATCAAGTAAAGAAATTTCAGCAAAGGATCATTTACAACTTTTAGCATTCAACATATAAGCGTATTTGCAGCGTATCTATATATATATATTACCGATATAAGTCTAATAAGACATTGTCCTACAAAATATCGTTCAACAAACAGTCAATTTTATTTGACAAAAGATTGGACAGGAATGATAAGTTTGCTGATTTTCTACTATAAGCTAATTGAATAAATTAAAAAYTTGATGAATACCTAGTAATATGGTCCGATATCCGTGAGGAGCAAATAATTTATAAAATAAAAAATGCTAAGTGCAAGAACCTCGTCTGAACTCATTCAAGGTTATATTGTAAATCTATATACATATTTGACTTATCCTGCTGGCTATACTTATGATACTTTATAGTTTATACCAYGATAAGTGGCGGGTACAGAAAATAAATATTTAAACTGAACAAATTATTTAGAAACGAAATGAATATTATCTTTACAGTTATTATTGTACTACAGACAGGTTACAAACTAAGGCTGAAGAAAAAATTGAAAAAATCGATTAATAGGGTTCTGGGTTGGTATACAAAATTATTGAAAGGATTTTTCTGCATTATTTAATTGTTTGTYGAATAGGTAATAGGTAACACATTTTATGTTGGAAATAGTTTTATTTTTAACTGTTTTTTCACTTTGTCTCTTTAAATATTATAATTACCTGCCTATTCTGTTTCAGTAACTGATTTCTGTATCAATTATAAAATAAACAAACATTATCATTTTTGTTGACAAAAAACCCACTAGTTGACAAATTAGTACTTATAATTTGTTTTAATAACAAATAGAATTATATAAATAATAATGATCAGTCTTCAAATATTTAAAATAAATTCTTATTAATTTACTGAAATAGTTATACTAGACATAACCTATATTTCAGAGTTTAACATAGTTAAGTTTATTTTGTGTTACAAAATACTGAAAACTAAATACATACAACTGTATTGTTGATTTAKGTAGGTAGGTACTATTATTAAGTAGTCGTATTGACTATTGCCTATATTAATAACACTAACAACTATTTACATAAACATATACAAATTCCTATTTCTATGCAAAGTGGCATGGCATTATCTACAGTACGCTTCAAATATCACTTCACTTGAAAGGTTTTTTCGAGGCTAGACATTTTCCATAATATGRCACATTATCAAGCCAATGTACAATTTAAATAGATTATTTTTAACATAGCAGCTTAATAATATACACTAACTACTTTAAGGAATTATTTCACTAGTTACTTATTTAATAGAATATCATGTAAATATAACTTTCTGTAGCGAGGGGATTAGGTGAGATATAACAATCAAAAACTAAATATATTTCATAAAAAATATTATCAGAATGATAAATACATGGCTCTTTTATTAAGTATAACATTTAAATTATTTTGGTAGAGTAGAAATTAAAGGTAAATTGAATAAAGACTCTTACAGCAGTTACAATAAAAAGGTTAGGATAAGTTCAAAAAAGTGAATCGATAAATATTAGCCTGCAGGGTAAATCATTTATAAAGTTTTATATTATATTATCGGATTTCAAATGTATTGTTTTCTTATTTTATATTTTAAATTGTCTATATATAATATATATAAATATTGTTCAATAATGGATAATGGTAATAATAATATTATTATTATGAATTATAGTATATTATTAAAAAATAGTAGTAATAATGATATAAGTATTGTAATATGTTTTTGTATTCATAATTTATTATATAATACAACATATAAAATAAAATAATAAAGAACATGTGTTGTTTTTGTTGGCGGCTTTTTTTTTTTTTACTAATATATAAAATTGTTGAAAAACAGAATATATTATAATATAATGATAAACTATAAGTTAGACARTTAAAAAGTTAAATAGTGATAAGTCTTAGACAGAAATATTGCAAACAAATTGTTCAACTTATAAAATGAATATCATAAAGATAAAATAATAATATTATTGCTTTTCAATTTAATTAAACAAGAATATATTTCCTATAAAATTACTTTCTACAATTTAAAAAAAAATTGTACGTATAAAAAAATGAAAGAAGATCGTATTTTCATATAAATAAGAAATACATAATACCGGAGAGATTCAGTTTTCATTAAAAACAATTATTAGTATTAAAGAAAGACAATATAATAATTTTTTTAATTAACGGTCATATTGACAATAATATTCAAGGTGTATGTTTCTTGTGTTTTAATTGAACCATGATAATATGCTAATCGTGGTCAGAGCACTGTACATCTTGATGACAACCAATTGAGTGCAGCCGCACTCCCWCCACCTTGACCAAGTTTCTTTGTTCCATTATTATCTCTTAAATGGTGGCCACCACTAGATTGCACACCACCTTTGGGAGGATTGGATGCTTCCTGCAGAATATATAAGAAACGTAGGTAGTTAGAACCAAAAATTGACAAAAAAAAATTCTAAATAAAAATATTTACATTTTACAATAAAAGTGAAAATTTAAATTTAAGTTTCATGTCTAAACATTTTAAAAGTATAAACCTTATTAATTTGTGTTTTCCTAAAATGCCATTTCATAACTATTATTTTGCGAAAAAAAAAAATTTGAACTTTAAAATAGAACTCTAAAATAAATGTTAAAACGAGAGTACAAACAAAATATATGAGTAAATTGTTAACTACAAATAAATTGAATTAAACATAAATCAACAGTCAATAAATATAAAATTAATAACAATGTAAAATAATTAATGAGTAGTGGTTCCCAAAGTATAGGTCAGGACACGGTGGGRTAGAATATATTATTATCTGATAATAAATCGAAAACACAAAATACAGCAGTGAAATTCTTAAGATTGGTAATGCTTTTAATTAGGAAAAGGAACCATATAAAAATCATTGTTCAAAAGGGGCACAAAAGTCAACAAAAAAGTTTGGGAGCCACTGGTTATGGGAATATTAATTGAACATCAAAGCCAAATTGAAACAGAAATAATTAATTCAAACAAACAAACCAAAAATTTATGTTTTTTTATGTAGTAAAGCTCTTTAAGTATTATCAATGACTTATTAAACTTTATCTACCTATTTAAATATTCAATCATAATAAAACCATAAGAATTCTAAAAAATCGATTATTTAAAACTCAAACACTACACAACTACTCATACACACATACACTCTAACCTTCTATGTAACACCAACATTGAATTGGGAAATTAAAACAAAATCCATATTATCCAACGTTGTCAGCAACAGCCAATAGATGATGTTTTAAAAAATATATCAAAAAAATATATTAATTATTACACAATCAAAATTAATTACATAGTATTCCATGAAATTTGTAAACAATTAATAGTTAGGTACTAAAAGATACTGTATTAATTYAAATTCTAATATACTGACCAGTTTCTTTTCTGTTTTTGTCTTGATATCTCTAGCCAGAGTGTGAAAAGCCTCTTCAACATTGACACTAGCCTTTGCTGATGTCTCCATGAATTTTATACCATACTCTACTGCTAATTGTTCACCACGTTCTTTTGATACCTAAAATATATACAATAATTTTTATCTACTTTCAGTAAAATAGATAATAAATATTTTTAATTGGGTATGTTTTTGATTGAATGTTTTACATAGGTACATTTAGAAGAATTTTTTTTTTGTTTAGATAATATAATTTATTGTGTAATACAGATCAACAAATCTATTTTTAGTGATATTTACCTGACGCCCTGAATTAAGTTCACATTTGTTCCCTAGCAGCATTTTTTCTACATCAGCTGATGCATTTTCCTCAATGTTACGTATCCAATTTTTTATATTGTCAAATGATTTTTCATTGGTGACATCATACACTAACATAATGCCCATGGCACCGCGGTAATATGCTGTTGTGATTGTCCTAAAACGTTCTTGGCCAGCAGTATCCCTGCAAGAAATGATAAGTATGAATCTATTTGAAATTGAATGCCTATTCAATACAGAGTGGTAGGAACAGTACACAGAATAGACATTGTTATGTAAAACTTATTATAGATACCTAAAAGTAAAGTTCCTGACAGCATCATAATATTAAAACAATAAAACAACTCACCAAATTTGCAATTTAATTTTCTTGCCATCCATTTCAATGGTTCTTATTTTGAAATCAATGCCGATTGTAGATATGAATGTTGTATTAAATGCATCTTCACTAAAACGGAACAACACGCACGTTTTTCCCACGCCAGAGTCACCGATCAGTAACAACTTGAACAGATAGTCGTAGGTCTTGGCCATCGCAGGATATTGTGTATAACGGGTTGCTGTTCACGTAGACGTCTGGATGTCAGAGGGTGTCGAGCAGACAGTTGGACGGACAATAAATGTTAGTCGTTCAAAACGTGCGTACACACGTTTTTGCAGAAAAAAAGTACCAAAGCTCAAAGACAATATTGGGTATTACAAAACTAGTGTGATGTGATGTGTTCGTGTTGTAAGTGTATGTGTATAACTTATGTGTGCTTCGGCTGTTGAATATGATGAATTTGTATGTGTGTGTGTGTATGTGTTAGTACGGCGGTAGTTGTCGCGAGAGTGACGACGACGGATTTATATTACGTTACACATTACCGTAAAAACATAATTCTTAAATTTTGTTTGCGTATCGATAAAGATGATGATTGCACACGGCGTGTCGATCGCGAACTATAAACGGCGGAGGCGGTGACGACAGTGAACGGCGACATTCGTTGCAACGGAACGTTGGTCGACTGTACAAGGGTACAACACAACTGCAACAAACGATATGTGTAATTATTATTATTATTATTATTATAATCCGTTTCCTTGAGCAAAGTAGTAGGTAATAATAACAATATTTTTTTTATCTAGTCACACTCACTCCGCTCACAACTGGCTGGTCTGGCTGGCGACCGAGGGCACCCGTTATCAATGTTTTAATATTATAATCACCGAGAGCGTGCAATTATCGCAGACTTCGGTCTGGCGTGTGGATGTGTGATGTGGTTGCGTAAGACGTGTGTTGGGTGTGCGTACCGTAAAGGCTTGGCTGCCGCTGATATCACCTCCGATATAATGATGCAGCTGTTATTGTGCAAAAAAACAGAATTGATAATTTTATGGCTAGACTGCAACGTTGATGGGAGGGACGACGATCACGTACGAATTAAGTCAGTCTACTGCTCCGCCACCGGTCTAATGTTATTGTACTTCCACGTTAAGTTGTTGTTACAATAATTTGAAAATTTGCTAATATACAACATTAATATTATAAAAACGATACTATTATTATGTTTGTAACGATTAAGGACGGCCCAAATTGTTTGTATTATTTGTAAAAGATAGCCTCCACGTAACCACCCGGCTGATAAGACAGCATCCGAACAGTGATAACAGATAACACTGCTCGTCAACTGTTATTGTGATAAATAAAGGTAATTTTTATTTTTTGTTACAAATTCGATTTTTGTTATATATTTTGGTAATTTTTTGGATTTAGTATTAAATTATATACATATATATGTGGTGTTATTTTTTTCTGGTATAAAGCTGTGTATATGGATATGGTATGTTTACGATTGTGACGATGTTACGTTATTTATTGTTAACTAACATAGGCGGATAGGCCAACCGGGCATTTCCCGATGGGCCCCCCCCTTCGTATTTTGGTAATGGGGCCCTTTAATATCATATATTATTAAATTATTCTTCATGTGGGGCCCCTTTTTAAAATTTTCCGGTAGGCCAAAAATGGCCTATCTGCCCATGTTAACTAATGCAATAATTATTGAATATCGATATTGATTAGGGTGTTGCAGTTAAAAAAAAAACCAGTTCCCCGACTACGACTGTAAGATTTTCTCCGACAACTGCCATCATTGATCGCCAGGGTATTCTTAGAACAGAAGGACGTAGGCAACCGAAAGCCCAATCTGAAAACAATCAGGACAATATTTATGAAGACAAGTTTACTTTAAGTCGGACATGGATAATATCGACAGTTATATTACTTTGTGGAATTGTAGCATTGACCTATCGTGGGTACTTGGATACACGAGCTGTCAACTATCCATATGAAGGGCCGAAAGTATTACTTTAAATATCATAAGAATAAATAGGGCGTATAAAAATAATTTAATTTAATTTTGTTTAGTAAAACCTATTGATGTAMAAATTTAGTTAAAAATGACATTCTATTAAAATTATTTTTTTACAGCACATTTTCATCATATGCTTTTTCAAATAAATAAAATAAAGTGGCTACATTAAATTATGAACAATTCTTTTAACAATAGGTACACTTTTACAATACTTAGATTAATTTTAGCAAATAGTTATAACATCAAACATCAAATTAAATTATTTTTATATCTACCCAAAAAATAATATATATTTAATAGCATTTCAATTTATTTGCACATTAAACATTTTAATTAAGCTAATTTTTGCTTTACTAAATACATAATACTGTGATTGTTGTGTTGGAAATCTTTATGATGCATTTTAATTGAATTTTCTTGCAGGTTATACAGAAAAATAGTGATATAGCACTATGGGGTACTTACAGACCAGGTGCGTACTTTGGATTACGCACTAAGGAACCATTGGCTAAAGGTTCTGTTGCTGCTGGTCTTATGTGGTATWCACAAGATAGTTTGATGAGGACTGGATCAATAGACTCTTCAATTCGTCATATGTGTGATAATGCTCACGAAAATTTAGTATATGGTTATGTAGAGCATGATACCGTAAATTATGGAYATCAAGTGATCAATGATGGAAAAGAAAATGGATTCAAATTACAAACCATATTTTTGAGACCGAATAATAATAGAAAAACAGACACATCAAATACTGATTGGACTACACGAATAATATATGAAACAAATAATTCAGCATCATCAGTGTCTCTAGTATGGTATGTATATATTGATCCTGGAGAAGATAATCAGTTGTTGAATAATGAAGAATATTCCCTTGGCATACAAAAAGGTGCAGATGGTAAATTAGGATCTCCTTTAGTAACAATTATGGGCTCTACTCCAAGTCTAAGTAATTTTAAAATGTCAATAATTCCTATACCACCTCACAATGCAAATAATTATAGTACACCAACAGTGCATATAAACACAAGTATAAGTAGTTTATGGTGTCCCAATGCGGCGATGTTGAAACAATGCTTAGCCAAATCAATGGCTATTAAACGGCTACCAGTCAAAGAGTCTGGAACTATCTCACAAATAATGCTTATAAATGAGAAGTATAATATACATGATAATATTCAACAAACTTCAAATCTTTTAAAAAATTTTATAGCCTTTCAAGTAACAATTAGTCCTAATAGTAAGAAAGATATTACATCAAAATTTAGAAGTTATTCTCTAGATGTAGCATATACTCAAAAAAATAAATACATAAATAAAGCTTTATTTAAAGACTTACCTCCTCTGTTAGTGGGCAATAAATTTAGTTCGGTCCATACGGAATACAGTAATAGATTTCAACAAAAATTTAAAAATACATTTCCAATTAAAATGAAAGAAGATACTGCTGATAAATCTTTACTGTTAGATTTTGCAAAAGTTACYTTTAGTAACATGGCTGGGAGCTTAGGATACTTTTATGGATCATCTCTAGTTAGAGATGACGATAATGAAAACAATTTAAGCAATGGTGGTGTATCAGAAATAGCTATAGTAGATGCTGTAAAATATTGGAGAGCCGGACTACTGACGGCAGTCCCATCAAGATCACAGTTTCCTAGAGGTTTTTTGTGGGATGATGGTTTTCATGGTCTAATGTTGGGAAGATGGAGTGTTGAGTTACAACTGCAAATTTTAGGCCACTGGATGGATTTGTTAAATCACCAAGGATGGATACCTAGAGAACAAGTGAGAGTATACTTGTTTATGTATTGTGTAGTATAATAATAATTTTTAATTTTAATTAAATATGTTTATTCAAAGATTCTAGGTTCAGAAGCCAGATCCAGAGTGCCAGAAGAATTTGTGGTTCAAAGTTCACGGGCTGCTAATCCACCAACTCTGTTACTTACTGTTGACTTACTACTAAGACAGATTAAACAACGTCGACAGGCCAAAGATGATACAACTAGTAACAATGAACAATTAAACTTTGATGAAGTTGATGGTACATTAAAAAAATTATATCCAAGACTTAAAGCATGGTATGCATGGTTTAACCGTACTCAAAAGGCTGTAAATAATTATACTAAACATTCAACCAATCCTAATGAGTTCCATCTATCTAAAAGATTTATTGGATATCGTTGGAGAGGACGTGATGCAATAACTAACAAGGAATTGAATCCAAAAACACTGACTTCGGGAATGGATGATTATCCTAGATCATCTCATCCTGTCAATGATGATGGAACTTCAAACATTGATAGTATTAATATAGCAAATGATTTTGATTTTGATGCTTCTGAACGTCATGTTGATTTACATTGCTGGATGGCCCACGGTGCACGAATAATGAATAATCTTTTCAATTATCTACAACCCACAAGTACAACTAATTTTAAAAATAAATATTCAATACATTTTTGGATGTTGGTTGAAAGTTTGGATCGTTTGCATTGGTCTCAAGGAAACAATGACACATCTCAAACTTCCGCCTCTAATATTCCAATGTATGCTGATTATGGTATACACACAGATGACGTTAAATTAGAAAAATTAAAAGGAATGCAAGATTCTGTGAGGGTAGTCGGACGAAAGAATTCACCTAAATGGCAATTTGTTAACTCACATGTRGGATATAATGCACTATTCCCTATGTTTTTTCGATTASTAAAGAATTCCCAGCGTTTAAATGCAATACTAGATTTAATAGAAGGGACTAATAATGACAGTAATGGAAATCATGGTTTATTGACTAAACGTTGTGGTTTAAGGTCTTTATCAAAAAGTTCACCTCTATACAAAGTAAGAAATACTATGCATGATCCTCCATACTGGCGTGGCTCTGTTTGGATTAATATGCAATATTTGGCATGTTCATCTTTATATTACTATGCCAATCTACCTGAAGATACCAAATCTTCCTATGMAAATAATGATGAATATGAAAACTTAGAACCAATAAGGTACCTTGATGCGAAAACTAAGCAAAGATGTAATCGGTTATATGATAAAATACGCAATGATGTAATTCAATGTGTTTACAAAGAATGGAAGCGTACTGGTTATGTATGGGAACAATATGATGATGAACCTGTATCAGATAACATATTAGGTTTGATTCATAAAGGAAAAGGAACTAGGCCATTTACAGGATGGTCAGCAAATGTTGTGCTCCTAATGGCTGAAATTTATTAAATTGTTTTAAATGTTAATCATATTTATTTTTRTTGTAAGAACACAATCAAGTATACACTTCATATTATAAATGCACATTTATTAGGGAATTCAGTGGTGGATCTATGATTATATTTTGGGATGACGTCAAATATGTTTTAATTATATTATTTTACTACTCATAAGTTCATGTTATTTCATAACCTAACCTCTGATTGGGTATGGGGTAGGACGTCCCCTATGCCGCCCCTTAAATCTGCCACTAAGAGAATGTATAAGAATTTTATTTTTATTATACAAATATAATTAGGAGGATGTCAGTACAATATTTATTTATCATATTACATCCACTTGCGATATAAATAAAACTCATTCTTGTAGATTTTGCAAGTTTAAATACATATTTAATTGTTTTGAGCAATATGTCAGACTCTCATAAATATTATTCTCCATAATGTTTGTAATGAATGATTTTACATTAAGATTACTTATAAACATACCAAAAATGATTTTGCAGGAATGTGTTTTATCTATAATGTCATTGAATAGTTGAATAGATTTTTTAAGTTACTCTCATATTTTGGGAGAATATTCAATAATTTTCATTTATTTCTTCAAGATTTGATGTTAAAGGCTTAAAAAAGTATAAATGGTTAAGCATCCAACATAAGATTTATCGGCTTTAAAATTTAACACATTTTAATTATGTTGAATCCAAATCATATAAACTCACAACTTTTTGAATTCTAAATCTAGATAAATAATTGTTTTTGCTTACCAAGCAATAATCATAATACTAATTGAGGGTTTGAGTCACAACTCATAAGTCTTAGTATAAMATTTTTCCACTAAACAAATACTCATAACTAGTGAATAAGAAAATAGTAGTTTAAATTAAAAATAAGGACACATAGATTTATGATATTTAAAAAATTATTTATAGTAAAAAAAATTCTGAGAATATTTTCTCTAATTACTACACATGAGCCAGAGTAAAAAATCAAATCATGTGCTGAGAAATACTCTTAAAAACGAATGAATGGATAATGTCTTTCATAATATTAACATGATATTCTTATRACTTATTAGTCTGCAATACATTTTTGTTACCAAAATGAAGTATTATAAAGTAAGTTTAATTTATTTATTCCGTAATGTTAACATTACTATTTAATTTCTAAAATTTCAAAAATTTTGTTACTTATATTTTTTATATATAATATAATGTATATCTGTATAAGTATTATTTTTAGTCATTAAATATATTTTACTTTATTTACTTATTGCTATTATTACAAGTACAAAATATTAATTAAGTTTAGTTTTTAAAAAAATGATCGTATATATATTAATACATATTTTGTTCATAATTAGAGAACTGACTTTATAGTTATCATAACTTTGTACCTTGGAATTATATTCTACATTTAAAAATTCTAAATATATTATTAATGCTAATTTTATTTGCACATTTGGTTTTATTATTTAGTAAAAATTGCCTAAAATTAAAATAATTGAAAAACACAGATAATATACCTACCTCTAATTTGATTACAGGTTAATTCACTTTAATACCGAAACTAACTACGAAATAAATTCTAGGTAYTGAATTAAAATTTGCCAGGTTGTACATTCATAAAATGGAGATGAAGGTACATGAAGGTATAATGTTCCTACTCTAAAATTTTTTCATACTTTTTTTCTCATTTAAAGAAAATTGCATTTCATAATGAGCAACAGCAACATGTAAGATAGGTTCCAATTGTTACTCAAACAACACCTTAGAAATAGGTATAMAATATTTTATAGGTCGRTATAACAATATTATRWAAGGTCACCTTAAATTATTTGAACACCAATCTCTATCATATCTACTTAGTACTAATGRTGAACAATATGTTACAAGAATAATATTAAAAACTTTTATAATAATTGAAAAACTAATATTTAGGATTTAGACGTGAAGACACCCTAAAATTCAAACTATTAAAATTTGGATTTAGTTCACATGTTATTAAGTATTATTGCCATAATATTATTTTATATCTACACAATACACTTAGTCAATGTAATGGCATTTGGCTGTTTCTTACAAAACAGACTTCAATTTTATTTGGTTTATTATTGGTTTTGAGAATGTAGCAAATAACTTTATGTAATTTCTTAACATAATACTGATTTGATGTATATTGTAACAAATAATTGTGTTTATATACATTTACAAATATATAACATGGATTTGCATGTTCAATGTTCTAAAACATATATTAATTAGTATTAATCTCTTTAGAAAAATGGTTCTTGCTTAAGCCAAACTATAATATTGATTTTCACATTCGTATTGACTTTAAGTAATTTTATAGTTCAAAGAATATTTTGTTAATACTTAATTACTAGGTAGAAATTTGTAAATATGATTATTAGTCATTACGAGCTTGATTTTGTCTTATATTACAATAAATTTACAAATATACAATTATAGACTACGTGTAATCTGTACACTTAACTATAGTACTGTTTTTGTTACTTGTTAATTGTTATTTGCTATTTTAATGTGATTCAGTAAAATAATCGATGAGTCGATGGATTATTTTACTATCAAATATCAATGCAAGCGATAAAATACACCCAAGGTAATAAATCCACCTTGAATACACCTATCCTGTTCGACGTAAATTCATGTTATCACCATATTTTTATGTTATCAAATTTGATATCAGTCATCAAAACTAACATTTTTAATTTTTATAGAAATTAGAAATATTAGTAATATTACAGATTCTCGCTCATTATTTTTTAATACAATACTTGATTTATTTCAAATTAACTGGTTAATTGATTAATCATCAATCATCAATTGTCACCACAATGCTGATGGCGTTAAACCGTCATATGTTGCATAATAGTCTTTTAAAGTTTCAACAACACATAGCAACCTCGAGTAATACATTTAAAGTGGTTGCTTCAAATGTGGTGGCCAATAACAATGGTCTGAATCATACCAATAGAAGATCTAGTTCATTTCAACAACAATCCTCTTCTTCAGATAGTGAAGGAGACGACACTTTAAAAAGCAACCCATATTACTCAGCTTATGCCGAAAAATTGCAAGATCTTAAAAAGTAACAAAAGGATATATTTAATCAACAAAAATAATACTAAAATATTTTGTAGGAAAAATGCTAGTGCCTACCGTGAAGCATTACGACGTTTACGTGAAAAGCAACGAGAGACTGTTGATACTGCTAATGCAGCAGTAGTGAATACTACAGATACAGTGTCTGAAAAAATTGATAGTACTGAGACTCAACCACAAGCAAAACCAAAACGAAGACCATCTCAGACACTATTAGTCAAACCAAAAGTATATGAATAGTCTTCACTTATTTTCTCAATTGTATAATATTATAATGACAACTTTATTTATTTAAAGACTTTAGAGCAAGTTATGAACATAGAACTGTTACGTGACAAATCATGGCGAGATGTGTCTGAGATATGGCTGGCATACCATAGGACACGTGATAATACTCTAAGCGCTGTTATTCCTTTAAATCAGTTTGAAAAATTTTATAATCAATCTATCAAATATCCCATGGTAYTCAAGTGTTTTCATAACTAAAATTCTCAAGTACAGGTGTTTCAATAAAGCGTATATTTTCAGTTTTTATTACCGCTTCCACGCAATAATAGTGGTTATGAATTCATATTTGCCCAGTTCCAGCACTATCAAGAAAATTCAACGTCCAATTGCACAGTCCACTTGACACCATTGATTAGTTATCAGGTAAAAATTTAAATTGTATGGTGATGGGTAATGTGATAGTAAGATGTTATAATTTATTGTTTAAACATTTTGTTTCAATGACAACGGCTAAAAATTGAATGAATTTGAAATTATTTTTTTTCGACTGTTAAATGTCTTATTTAATTAATTCAATTTGTTTCTTYAACACGTTGACTGCCATGCAGCCGCTGGCGTCCATGTAATAATAATTAGTTATTGATAATTTTTAGCTGCCAGTGGCGGACTGGAATGAAAAGGCCCGGGGTGCTGAAACATTTTTAGGGCCCTATCAATATATTATAAAATAAAAAAAAGCGGGTAAGTCGTGATGGATGTTGCTTTGCTGTACAGTAGGTTACAAGTGGGTTACTGTAATGGATGGAATTAAATTTGAATCCAATGATATTATATCATTGTATACGAAAAATGATTCTGAGCGGAAACGGTTTATCTGTCTAGGATATATTATAGACCATTAAAAATTTTCAAATCTTGGATTTAAAAAGAAATTTTTTTATGAATTTCTAGCATAAAATAATTTACAAATTTTCGTGATTTTTACATAATATTTTGTCAAAATTCAAACTTTGAATGCTTATAAAAAAAATTGTGACTATATATTTATTTTATTTTTCAACTGCTATTGTAAAAATATATTATGAGCCTTGTATTAAATTCTTAAATCTTAGATCTAAAAAGTAAAACTTTTATGAATTTCTATCTAAGATAATTAGAACATTGCCATAATTTTTATGTATTAAGTCAATATTTGAACTTTAAATGCTTAGAAAAAAAAATTGTGACTATGTATTTATTTTATTTTTCAATTGCTATTGTAAAAATATRTTAGGAGCCTTGTATTAAATTGTCAAGCTTTTCTACCAAACAAATAAATTTTTATCGATATTAGTTTAAAAAAAACTAATAATGATCGAAAATTGCAAATACCTATGAATAGTTCAACTTAAGTTGACAATTTTTTAAAAATTACATGGTGGATAGAATATACTTATAYAAACATTTTGTGAAAATTTCATGTAGGTATCTATGGTGATTTGTTTTAAAGTTACATCTAAAACCAAAATCGATTTTGTCRAAAACTGATTGTGCGTAAAATTWCCCGTTTTTCCCTTAATTTTTAGTTTGTTTATCCCGATTATTTAGAAAAATATTAAGAATTTTTTACTTTTGACCCCCCAAAGTTCCAACTAGATTTACTTTCTGATCAAATGAGGTACTGCAGTTAAAATCGAAGCACTTTTACTGCCCCAAAACGTGATGACAGACATAAAAAAAATAAAAACACACATCATGGTAAAATCAATACATTCATCGCTCCGCTCAGAATCTAAAACCAATTAATGCACTATTCTATTTAATTTTCAGCAAATTTTACATTTTATTTTTATATTATAATATTTTAATGATAAATAAAAATTAATAGGAATAAATTATTATGGATGGCAAACACCTTATGATAAAGTAATTATTTTCAACATTTATAACTTTCATAGTTTTACAATAGACCCAGGGGCCCAGGGTGCGATCGCGCTTTAGCACTGGCTGCCGCACCATATCATTCGTAGGAGGCCATATGGCCGCAGACTGCCTTAAATTAATTTGGATTTATATTATTAACTTTTCCGTGGCGATTCAATAATGATTTTGAAAATACGCTGTAGCGTAGTGGGAATAATTGCAATTTTTTTTGATGTAATAAACATAATTTTAACATTTTTATTCAAATTCAATAGTAGATTTATATACAAATTCAAATTTATAATGACACTGAAAAATGTCTTGGTGTACCCATGATAAATATTCTTGAGGATGCTGGGCGGCTGCATGGCAGTCAACGTGTTAAGTTTTAGTTTTTTTTTCTTTTAAATCATTTATAACTAATAATTTAAAGCTGCACAAGATAAATTTGTATGACATTGTAAAATGTCTTCAGTGTTAAATTAAAAGATAAAAAAATTAATTAATTAAATTAAAATATTTAAAGATTGTTTTAAATTTGTTTCAGTATAATGAATAAGATTTATGATATTAATATAATAAATATTTATGCAGCTTATTATTAAAAAAAAAAATTATTTTTCAACGTTTTGTTCCAAATAAATAAAACAATTAGTTACCTAATTGGCTCGTTTTTATTATGTTTTAGACATTTAAAGAAAACGCACCGGAATGTATGACTGTTGAATATTACACTGACCTTTGCAACAGTGATAAAGCTATTGAACACAGTGGGTCTGATGATGAATCATGTGTCTTAATGAGATCTACGTACGATGGTAAATTGTTATCTGCCGCTGAAGCYGCTTGTCTAGTCAACCAGCTACGTATATTTTACGGATTAGATTCTGGAGTTGCAGATAAAGAAAAACTTTTAAAATCCTTCAATGAAGGAGACACAACGTTCAAACACTCTGATGTAATTGCTCTAGTGGAAACGTTGAGTATTTAATAATATAAATAAACAAATAAAAGCGGCGAGTGCTAACTTGAATCCCAACCAACCCAACCCTGGTTTTTTTTTTAGAATATTGGTACTAAATACCAACGTATATGTGTTTAAAATAAATAATACCTACTTAGCAACAATAATGATGTTTTTATTTAAATATTATCTCGGCGTACTGTAGGAAATTTATCTTCGTAGGTAATATACCATTGTCCTAAGAATATGCGGTTTGCATGGTTCGCAACAAGCATAGTTTAATCTATGTTATAGCATTTTATGATACTTCACATTTTAATCATTTTATTATTTTAAATATTTTATGGTAATTGACATTAGACTATTAGAGTGATAAGTGATAACGTCATTGTATGATGTTGGCAACGGATGTGAGCGAGTAATGCATAATATTATCCGTAACCGTGGCCGCCACCTGTCACACACATCTAGTGCACTGCTGTACAACTGCGTGCAGGCCTGCTAACAGTTCTCGACTAGCAGTTATCGCCAACAGGTGTTTCATTATTTTCTCCGTCGCCGGACGTCTTGATCGCGTCAACCAGTCTCACCGCAGCTCGTGCCCACCGCGACACAATCGACACGGGACGTTTGGAAGTATTTTTTCTCAAGGTAATTGTCCACAACCAGCGCCGAAAATCCTGTCAGTAACCGAACTACCCCGTGACACACGATCGGCGCACGCCACCACTCACATCGATCAGCGTCTTTCGCATTTAGACATGTTGTCCCACGACGCCAACAACGAACAGGAGCCGCAGCAAGTGGCCGAGCCCACCGTCCGGCTGTGCGTGTTGCGCACTTGGCCTGAACACTTTGACGGGTACGGGTTCAACCTGCACGCCGAAAAGTCCAAAACGTCCGCGTCGTCGCCCAACGGTGGTCTGCCGTTCTCCGGCGGACAGTTCGTTGGCAAGGTGGACCGRGGCAGCCCGGCCGAGAGCGCTGGTCTCCGCGAGGGCGACAGGATCGTGCAGGTGGACGGGGTGGACATCGACGGCGAGACGCACTCCAAGGTGGTCGCCCGCATCAAGAAGGGCTCGGCAGCGGAAGATGACTCGGTCAGCCGCTGTTCGCTGCTGGTGGTCGACCGCCGGGCCGACACGTACTACAGGGAGAAGGGCATCAGAGTGCACGCCGACATGGGGCTGCAGGTATTGGTGTTGCGCACGCCAGAGGAGCCGACGCCCGAATGCCTTGCGGTGCAGCCGCAGAACGCCCCGAGTCCGAAAAACGCCGCGGTGGCCGACGACGTAGGAGCAAAGCAACAGGCGAGTTTGTTTCCCAGTCGCGTTAATAATATGTCGCCCGAMATTAATACCATCATTATTATTTTATCGCGTACTTAAGAATATAAATTTATGCTGTCGTCGTGGTCGTCGCTCTRCAACCGGCGGCATAACTGGCCGTTGGACCGACGACGACGGTTACTGGTCTCGGGACTGTACCGGCGTCGAGTTCATTTTGTACATACAAATTATCGTACCAATCGTACCGACCTATACAYTAATAATAATATAAAATATTATAATATCGCTGTGGCCAACGGTTGGGCGTGGGTGGCAGACGGCGGTTGGAGCCAAGGACTCTGTCGGTATCGCCGCGTATGACGCGTGAAAAACGCGGTCGAGGACGCCCCCACTCCGCCATATTCCTGTAAAATATTATCATTATAACAATATTAAACCTAATAATTACCTACACGTATAGATACGTTTCATCCGCCCGCGATGTTACGGTAACTCACATAATATCTAAAAATATTATACACGCCTCGCCATCGATAATTCGATTACAATATGCGAAACCTACCTGTTGATATATAGCCATATTGTTTAGCTGCAGTGCTCTACACTGATAAAAATAATTTCCGACGAAAAACATTTGWACATTTCAGGCGCKYGTGAAACAAAATATGCATTCGGGTCCCCTTAAATCATAATACTCGAGATAATACTTTTTAACGACCGTTATCATATTTCTATTATTATCTACGTTGTTTGTGACRGTTGGTCGTGGTCGATCGGATTCGCCACTTGAATATTGCGGCCTTTGACTGATGTACGTTTGTTGAGTCTGCAGGGTATCCTGTTTTAAAGCGCGCCCACTGCACGCGCATTATTCCAAAAGCAAACCCATGGGCTATGGTTGGTTTGCTCGTAAATTAATTTGTGTGCCTACTGAGACCGACCTATAGGAACCATCGATTTTAGGACGTTTCATAAGATGAGTTTCAATAGGCGAGGCGTAATCTGGGGTAAATTCTTGGGGGATGGCAGGGGGCAGTCTGTGATAAAACTAAAGATCTATAAGCTAAAATGACATTATAAAGTATACAAGCTCAGTTAAATTTATGAGGGGCAACTGCCCCCCCCCAGATTACACAAATTCTTACTTAATTACGCCGTAAGACAACTTTACACAAAAGCGAACTTTTAGACAGTAAAAACTTCTAGAAGATTTTTGTTTGTCCTAAACGTTTATCTTATAAAACTGACCAGATGTTTTTTATAAATTCGCTTTGCTGGTTTCAAATAGAATTTTTTGTTTTTTTATTGGCTTATTGTGTTTTTAAATATAATTTATGTATTTTCGTGGTTTGATTTTAACAAATAGCTAATATTAATAAGTAGTTATAGGTATAACATAGATACATAATAATATGTAAATAAGTATTGGTAATTACACAAATTGGACTTGGTAATTATCATATTTTTAAATGCAACATAAATGGAAAGCAAAATTATATTATAAATATCTTAAGGTTTTTAATTGTATATTTTTCCTCGTACCAACCATAGTGTCAGAAATTTCAATTTTTAATACTTATTTACCTACTTATAACTTATTATTMGGTAAACAGTTAAAATCGAGTCAAATGGATATCAATGGTCTCCTGCTAGAAAGATGTCAGCCATTACAACCGACTTTAAACAASATATTTTGCTTACCAATAATATATGTGAATATATGTGGCGTAAATAAAATCATTACGTTCCTATAAAGCCATTAAATATTTTATGAAATATTAAAAGTCAATTAGGTATGCATTTTAATAATAATAGGTACTAATTATTTTCTTAACAAGCAAAAATAATTTGRTATTACTTTGTTGAAAACACACAATATGTAATTCAAAGTACTTGCCTAAGCAAAAATAACATTCCAAAAATTCTCGCCGTGGGACACATTCAATCGAAACAGTATATTCAATAATTTGATACTTACATTTTCGATTTACGGAAGTGTCGATTTCAAAATCAAAACCTACAGTAGATAAGAATTAAAGAYCGTGCGACATTAACAGACCCGAACACGCACACTAATAATATTATGTGTTTACCATTTGGTCAGTTGCAATAAATTATTATTTCGATATTCTATGATATCCATAATAAATTACATAAATCGAAATAACATTATAAAATATAATAATTTCATTCTTATATTGTTATATGCATATATATATTTCATGATAATACAATTTAACATTAAAGTGTGCATTTTATATTTATAGATTGAATTTTGAGTTTTATATAATTGTGGTACTAGGTAGAGGCTGCGGAGGTTAAAGCTCTGAGGTCCTTTGTTTTATTAACAACCCTTATTGCTTTTATATCTTGAATATAGAACAATTATAGCTCCCCTCCCTCTGAAAATGCAATCGAACCACTGCCTATGTCTGTTAGAATAAAAGATTCTTGCAGATAGAGGTGATCGACCAAGGGTGACAATGTGGAAATAGCCACCTGGACCAATAATTTTGATTTCGTGTTATGCTTATGACGATATTTTGTGTAATATTTAGTAATAACAAGATTTTGACAGTTTTCCTAAATTTAATTAATATAGACATTTTAGCTGCAACTCTTAAGCGCAATTGGAGACCTAGTCCCCTCAGTGGCGTCATTTTTTTTTTTTTTTTTGGGGGGGGGCAACTAGGTGTGCAAATGTGTCAGTCTGATTCAAATTGTAAATGTGTGTTTTATGAAGGAAAAATAACATAATATGTTAAAATAGAGTGCTTGCGACCAAAGCAACAATTTTTTGAAGATACTCATTTGGGCTGGTCAAAACTTACACCCATGTCCTCCTTTGATCTCTATCAAAAACTGAAATGATGCCACTGAGCCCCCTCCCCATCACCAAGGTTTTACAACAAATAAAATCGTTTATGTTATCACAAGATGAATAAATAATGTATGATGACATCATTTTTTTTTAAATTGTTAAGAATTCTTTTTCTACATTACTAATACTTAACCAACATTCACAGCTATTTCTAATAAACGTTATGTGGTTATTTGTTAACCATTTAGAATTTAGATTCGTCATTAAAATTGTATTAGATTGAATGTCAGCCGTAGCCCGTCAGTGCGTTAGGTATTTGTTTACTCTCTCTAAACTACTCGCACATGGTGAATTGGCGAATTTACGTTCACTAGAACCAAAGTTATCGTATACTAATTGTTRACTTTAAAGTRAATTAACCTATTATAAAACTCAAAGATAAGGAYATTATCTGTGTTTGTACTTTGGCTTTTATATTAAATTAAAATTTTTATGCAAGTTATGAGTACCTACATATTATTTTAAAATATTACTGTTTAATAATGATTATTACATTGCAAAAAATTTTAATATTGTAAATGAGCCAACAAATCAACTCATATATACCGTTCTTCGTATTAAGTGTAAAAATAGCCCAATTCTAACTCTAATATTAAAGCTGACACAAGATTGGTATGGTGAGCATGGGAAAGAAAAAAAACATGAAATATAGTGCGCCTACGTCCTCTTAAGTCTTAATATTATCTTCACTCGTCGTATCATCAGCTATAATTTTATAGTACTATTTCTTTATCGTTTCTTGTAGGCAATTTACTTTGTCGTAATTGGGTGTGTGGCCGTGTGGGGTGACAACCTAAAACCTTTACACGACTTTACACCCTGAGGTCTTCTTCTCGAGACATAATACTAAGTAATAATTACATTGCAATGACGTAAAAATCTCGTTAGATGTAAAAGATTGTTCAAGCTATAGGGCGYTATTTGTGAGGGGATTTCCCCCTCCATATTATGTTTATGTTTGGCATATATTTGTTCAACACCCTCCCRCCCTCRATGAAAAAATTGAAATTACATCTATGCCTAGTTATAAAACAAGAAATAGTAGCAGTTGTTTTTAATAATGAGTACCTATACCTAGGTAATGACTAACAAGTGATGACAGTTGTTATGAGGTTAACCCGGGCGGCATTGATTATAGCAGGATATTTCAGCTGTATTATTGCCTTCAATATTAAATAATATTTAAATCATGTTTTTAAATATGCATATTAAACGTGCTCGGTGTGTTTTACTATTTTGCAGCCGAACGACAGCGATGAGACTACAAAGCCCGCCAACTCTACGACTTCCACCACTACGACACTAAATCTGAACATGACGGCTGCCGAACTGCGGCGAAGGTTGGCTGAACGCAAGAAGCAAGACTCTCGACGCTCCGGCGCTGCTGGAGACGGGTCGTTAGATTTCCGTAAAAAGTACGAGATTGTCGACAAGTTGTGAAAACGAAAATATTGTGCTGGATCTTTATACACACACTCATACATACACATACGAATTATTAAATACACGCGCCCTAAATTAGTGGATAGGATAATACCTACATAATAATAATAATATATTATCATTATATTGTGTTAAATAAGTTTATTAATTAAGTATTTTAAAAAAAAAAATTGTATACATTAGTGTTTAGTTTTTATCGTCATATCCGTCCGAATGTCTATACGGTTATACAGGGTACTTATATACGTCATAACCATAACCTATAGCCGTGCTAACGATTTTATCGCCTCAATGCAGTTGTATATATTTTTTTCTCAGCTATAATTATTTTGGTGCAGCCCTTCGTTGTGGTCCTCAATTTCAATTAAACATCAAACGTATATCGTATTTTTATATCATATCTTATGTGTGCGTATGAGCGTGACTATTGTTTTCTAATGTCAATTTGTTAAATAAAAATAAAACGTATGATAAACAGTATACACACACAACCATGTGTCATAAACATATAATATACTAAATACTTTATACACTTAACTTATTAGTGGTTAATATAATATTATAGTAAGTAAAAAGTTCTCGATGAAGGYGTTACAATAATAAGATAGTCGTGTGCAGGCCTATAAAAGATAATAATCTAAATGATTTAATAACGTAGATATTGGGTACCTTCGTATATAATAAACTAGTATTAAACACATTATTATTGTCGTTAATAATTATAATAATATGATTCATACTGTACGTATTATACATATTACAAAAACTATATTGCTCCAAAAAAAAACATAAATACACGTATGTATTTAATATTATTATATTGTGTTTCTATATTATAAATATTTTAAAAATAAAAATAATTTCTCGGACATGGAATAAATTGTTTACCTCCACGGTACCACTGCTTGCTTCCTTATCATTTGACACGTTCTTATCACCTATTGGAATTATCACATTTTCCYTTTGCTATGTTTACATATTTGCAATTATGTTACTGTAAATACAAACACTGAAACACCGGCGTATAACATTTACTTGTTTTAAAATGGTGTGCGAAAAATGTGAGAAAAAATTAGGAATAACGGCTACTCCAGATCCTTGGAAACAGGGATGTCGTAATGCCATTGATACTAATTCAGTGAGTAAACAAGACAACAAGCATTTACAAACCATTGGAAAAATCAAGACTCTATCTGGCTCYAAAGTATCATCAAAATCTGCACTCAAGACAGGATCATCTTCGGTTATGTATTCATTTGGTGCATGCAGAATATGCAAACAGAAGGTACATGAACCAGGAAGACATTATTGTCAGAGTTGTGCATATAAGAAAGGTATATGCGCCATGTGTGGTGTACGCATTTTAAACATTAAATCTTATAAGCAATCTGCTACTTGAAATCAATTTAAACATTCATTGTATTAAAATATTAAATATAACATAGTTGTAACTGAAACAATTTTACTGTTTTAGATTGAAAATCATTTAAACATATTGTAATATTAATGATTATAAATTGTATTTTTTTATAATCAATAATAATTTTTGGATTTCTTATTATTTTAACAGATCTTACAAGTGTTTTATACCTATGTACTTTAAATAAAAAACAAAAATAAAAAATAATTTTATTTTATAATTTTATTACTTTATAAACAATATTTTAAGCTGTAATTGAAACTGCAATTGAATTTTTCTTTTTTAAACCATTTTGGCGATTGTGCATCACAATTTTATTGGTGGCAGGAAATCCGTCCATTAATAGACAATATTTTGACCAAAAATTGAATGCAGATGATTCTGCTGAAGCAACTTTGGATGGTGAAGTAACGCTTGCAGAAACTCTATCGGTAGGGTTTTTTTTAATTGAAACATCAGCATGAACACCATAAACTTTGTCGGTGTCTTCCAAAATATGCCCAAACCAATAAATTACAGCTCCTGGGCCATAACGGTTCCAGTAAGGAAATAATTGGCCTTGAGTAGATTTACGTAACTGATCAGGGCCACCAAACATTGCTTTTGATTCTATCCAATTTAACACTCGAATTTCATTTTCACTTCCTCCAACATAATTAGTTGCTATATATTCTTGATTGTATTTCATATTGTCAACATCTGACAATGAAATGGCAATAGGTTCGCTAAGTACCACATCAGGTGTCATGTCTAGCCCACGAAGCCGGCATTCCTTTTCAGTTGTATAGTTTCTTTCCGATTTGTTTGTCTTGGACTTAGTCAAACCTGTCATATTTTGTTTTAAAATTTGTTCAAAGCGCTTGCCATTGCAGCTGAAAAACAATTTATATGGTAAGATAATAAAAAAATAAATTACCTACTATCAAAATAACTCAATAAATTATACCTTTTGATAAATTCCACACATGATCCATAATAACCATCTACAACAGAAGACTTATATACTTCATAAGCTAACTGTGGATCTTTACGCATCAACCAAGTAGACGTAGCCAATTGATGTGGTGTTAAATTCAAACTGTTATTAGTTGTGGGAATACAGAATGAATTACTATTATTCAAACTATTATSAGATTGATTTAAGTTTAATTCAGATTTATACATTGAGCGCAGTTTACAGGTGAGCCAGTTTAACTGTTGAGATAACTGTTTATCAATACCAAAAGAAGTATCCAACTCTTTAGCTGTAGAGTCGTTTGCACTTATATCATGTTTYAACTCTATATCACTATCATTTTGTAAGTTACTAGCAATTGATCCAACACTTGTATCGTTTAATGTGCTGCTATTAAAACTATTTTCATTGTTGGAATGTTGCTGATCAAATTTCTTTTTAAATTTTTCTTCTTTTATTTGATCAGCAATTACACATTTTGCAACTAACATAGCTGGCATACGCAATTTATCGGCCAATGTGATCAATGGAGATACTGCAGTACCCTTAGCAACTAATTCCTTGTACCTATAGACATATATAAGTGTATGTACATATCATTAATATACAAAAAATTATAATAAGATAGTAATATTGAGTAACAATTCCTACCTCTCGTTCATTGTTTTTGAAGAATCGATTAATTGTTTATTCATGCGTTCTTGTTGACGATAATTCGTAAATAGTTTAGATTTTGTTGAAGCTGTAGTTCTAGATGTGGTTGAAGAATGTGAAGGAGAATTGGCATTGGAAGTGCTGGAAAAGACCTTATGATGTCGTTGGCAAACATATTGTTGAACTCGACCATCAATAATACTTAGAACAGTATTACTATGTACGCTAAACAACAATAACAACATTTAATACATTGAGTAAAATAAAGTATCATCTATATCACTCACYGTGGATATCTGCTCAGTGTGTTTGAGGTCAACACACCATAACGGTTTAAAATAAAATCATTGTTATTCTTGATTAACGAGTCTATCCAGTCAACCATTTCATTGTACTCGGATTTGGTGAGGCATTTTCTTTTTGATTCGTGGAAATTCGATTCATTTGTAGCGTCCATGGTGGCGATAACTTTAAATGCTAACCTAGTTATAGTAACTCAGGTAGGTACGCATAACGCGGAGAGGACGTCATTAGAACATATCTCGCATAGATATACGAACCATTATTGAGCACATGCAATAGTTGTTGATAGTAATGCACAATGTAAATTCAATAGACATTAGTTGTGTACCTATGTACGAATAGTCATTCGAGGTAAGAAAGATAAAACTAAAAAACCTCGACAAATCCGACAGAAGAAAAACACAATATCGAAAAACCGACTGCGCAATACGCACTTCTCCGATATSACTCGCAGCACCCAGTAATTCCGTTTCTGCGCGCGCGATATCACTTATGGTTTTGTTATCTCGTCGTGGTCTATAAAGTGTGGAGGTGGACGCCATGCCGCAATGGGATATAGAAATAACAAACATTGCAAGACGTTGTGGTTGCCATGGTGTACGTCATATTCGTCGCGCCATCTATGTATGTCTCGGTTGATGTCCAAACGAAATTGAATTGGTAAACGAAAGTAATACCTAACTTAAATATTAGCGTTTCGCTGGCACAATGATAATAATTAATAGTTAGTAATGTTATTCAAACATAAAATAATATCGGATACGGGGTGAATAATAATAATAATAACTGCCATATTTGTGCCAAAGTATTTGGTATTTAGAAACATAATGCGAATAGGTACAGTTTATCGTATTATTTCCGTATGTTAAGTGCTTATGAAGTGGTCACGGCGTTTTGTCGCGCATACGCATCTTGCCATAAATATTGTTATGCGCCTATTGTTTGACTACATGACAACTTATAAAMTATTAATTATTACACGCCACACGCTCGAAATAGGATACCTGCTCGGCCGCATATTGGTGCATACAAATGTATTACAATAATTGTAATACAATCATAATAAAACTGTAGAAAAAYGCATAACTAATCGTATACATTATTATTAACATTAATTTGTTCTACCTATATCTACGTGCGTGTGAACCCAACTCCCGGCGGCTTATCTGCAGTTTAAATGCTGGTTTTAGCTTTCTACATTAACGACTTGTCGGAACTTATACGATATAGCCGTCTGCATAATAATAATAATAATAATAGGTATGTAGGTATTATATTATGCTATGGAAACGACATTTTCTTTTCTTTTTTTATTTACGTTTTTACTAAATACCGAATTGTTCTCGTCGTAGTCAYAAATATATAGCCAGCCATATGGGTAGACACCTAATAGGTATGACGAAAAATGAAAATAGTCACCGTTAAGTGTTAACTGTTGCGGCGTAGGTATAACGTAGGTACGTAAATCGTTTAAGTCTTATTCATCTGCCGAGTGATGACAAAAGCGCGTTAATCGCCGACGCGAGCTACCTCTGGCCGYCGTTAGAATACGACAAAAATCCGAATTAAATATGATAATTTCGAGATGGTATATTATAATAGCCGTACGCGTCCAACGTAAAARTATATTACACCMATTTACGGCGGCGAAGGCGATACGAGCGCATATCGCTGCGTAATATTATTATCATATCGCTACGAGAGAAAAGCCCAACAGCGGCGGCAGCCGAAAAACCGGTTGTTTGCCGCCTACCAAACGTTTGCTGGACCGCGTGCACCTCCCGTCAATCTGCCAACGCCGACGACGATATTATAATGACATACCCAAAAAAAAAAACGTACCTACGTAATATTCTATTATAATAACACCACGCACACCGCCCAGAATCGTTGCGTGTGCGTGTGCTCGAATGTGCGACGTGCGTGTGCGTGTGTAAGTGTGTGTGTGTGTGTGTGTGTGTGTGACATGGTGTAAAAGTTGTAGGCAAACGGCTCGCGGGCAAATAGTGAAATTTTACATACACCGCTCCGCCGAGATCCACAACAACGCCACAGCCGCCGCCGCCGCCGCATGTTTTTTTTTTTATAGTGCCGGCGAAGAGCGTCTCGGCGGGGTCGGCACTCGGCGGTCCCACCGTGTTCTTCTAGTGCGGTGTGCAGTACGCCAGTACGTGTATCAGTCGCAATATCGTCGTCGGTCTGCGCGGAGTACGTGCTGCAGATAGTGCATTATCGTAATACCGACACAACTTTAATATATTATTTTATAGGTAAAAAAAATTGATAGACGCGCGTACCACTCGTAAGTCGTAAGTGCATATTGTGTRCATGTATATTAGTGTATGGCATTCTGCCCGATGTATATGTARTAATAATATAATGATAATTATTCATAATATTACGTATACATTTTACACATAAGTGCTTACGGTTGCGAGTGGATATATTATTATTATTTTATATTATTACCTRTACGTATATCGTGTTGAAAACGAAGATTGCAATATTGTTCCGTCGAACTTTATATTGCCTCGTAGTTCATTCTATGTATTGTAACATATCATATGAAGTTTAATTGTTGTTTTTACGATCGAAACAGATTTTCACTGGACTATTTCGCAGCTGTATAGGCGACGAAGAGGACATTTGTTTTTCACAAGACATTTTAAGCTTCAACATTACGAGTGAGTATCTATATTTATAACCGTAGTATACCAGTGGCACATCCAAAGGGTAGTCCCTGGGTCCGGACCCCTCCTTGGCTACATACCTAGTATTATTTTATATTATAAAAACATTCCTCATCGACATAGTAAAAAAACTCATTGTTATMTTTTACGTTAAATAATTGTGTTTATTAAGCAATAAAATGAAACTATCGGCATAGTACAGGGTACCTAATTGAATCAATTTTTTKACCCCCCTTGGCTCTTGAATAAATCTTAGTTGTACGCCACTGCTGTATACCATATATACCTTACAGCGCCCTTTATCTATATCGTTAGTATTCGATATTTAGGTACCTATTACCTACTATATGGCTGCGACCCGTTCCGTATCGTAGTTTTATAATAATGTGCATAATGTATTATTATGTATATATATATATTTAACTGGAGTGTATGTCTCGCTCGAGAATATACTATATGGGTTATCCACGGGTACCACGTGCAACGCATATTATCATAATATTATGCGCGATTAAYTGCAACAGCTTAACTGAAACGGACCCGTTAACATATAGGTCGAAATTTTCTCTTTTTTGCACGGGACACACTCCCGTGATATACCTATAACTACGGTTATTCGCGCGTATAGAGTAATGATATGAATTCCAACGAGACTAATAATTATGCAGTATACCAATAAAATCAGACAATCAGTATCGGTGGGTGCTTAGGTATATTATCGTGCAGTGAAAACAATACGATATATATTATTGTATATGTTGGTAATAATTATATTATTCTAATATTATTATGATTAGTAATAATTGCTGCGTGAATCGTTGAGTGTGTACCTATATATATATATATATGCGTACGCGGTGAGAATAATATTTTTCCCGCTGTCATTGTGATGTTCACGTCAACATAATATAATAATACCTATACGATTATGCATAACATATGCAATAGTACAATGGCACCGCACAAGCGCAACAGGTTTCGTTGGGGTTGTGTGTACAATATAAACGTCTGGGCGTCTGGCCACAAGTACACAACCCTTGTCATACTAACTAACTTGTATACTAAACGATGATGACTATAATGATAATAATAATAATATAATAATACCGTCTGCACGTAACCGGATGCACCGAAATGCAGCTGACCACACCGCACTGTCGTTATATATCATTATATACCTGGTACCTATACGTTTCTAAGTGCATATGTCGTGCGTGCGGGTAAATTATAAACATCGAGCAGACACACAGATCGCATAGCGCCGAAGTTTAACGTCCAACAGTAATTCGCACATGTCATGGCATAAATACGTTATACCTTATACGCCATAATTTATAATATTATTATTATATATTATACATCTCTCATGTTACTGCTATGTATACATACAAGACGTATTTGGGCATGCCTTCAGTATAGTACGACGAAGTACAGCCTGCAGGTGACGTCCCGTACGGCCGTACCTATACCCGATGGTCGTTTAAGCCCAGCGCGTATAATACAGTAGAAAACCAGCCGGCGGCGGCACTTTCACGTCGTATATATGCACATCGCTCGGGGACCTTAGACGAGAGCCGGTAAACATTTTCGGATTTGACTCGCAGGATATATATAACTACACATTTGCTTAATATATATATATGTTATACATATAATATACGCACACAACCGGTCGCCGAAGTTTAAGGAAGAAATCGAACCGCTCGCCGTATCTCACCGCGACAAAACCGCACCAGACACCGGTAAAAAAAAAAAAAAATCCGTAGAGTTTCATATCATTATTATTTCCTATATTATAATATACGTTCGCTCGGCGCACGGTGGCCGTGACATTGTGCCGCGGGTGGGCCGACTCCGATGCCGGCCGCATATATCCGGTTGGAGGTCATGACGGTTGCGACCGCGGGAGAGAGTGCTGCATGCGCCGGCGTTCACCACTGCATCGACAAGTGCATCCCCATACGAGCCACACGCATCAATGCATCAATACCATGCACACATAATTGTAGATTGTGTAGGTACATGAAGTGGTACGTACCTATAGGTACTTATATATTATGAGATATATTACATTATTGTACGGCCGGACTCGTGGCACACGCGTGTATGTAATATATTATTATAATGCTACGGCTATATTATAGAGGCGTGTTTACAGATTTATTCGGGGAGACGGGAAGAAGACATGGACGTAGAACGACTAACGAGAAACTGAAGAATTCGTTAAAAATAGAAAACGTCAGGATGCCGTATTTCGAAAATAACAAATCTAATAATATATGTTTAGGTTCTTTTAAAGTATATTGTTTGTAATAAATT